GCGGGGCTCGTGGCGGCCGGAGAGCCCCAAACCTCCGCATGGAAGTGGAGGTGCCCAGCAGCGGTGGGAGTGTGGGTGGGAGCCACAGGAGAAACTGAAGACCGTGCCAACTGGCATGGTCTGAGAAAGGGGAAAAAGACGGCTGGGATGGAGTGGGTGGGGAGAGGGAGGGAGAGCTCAGGGGAGCATGTGCGTGGTTGCTCTCGGGTGCCCAAAACCTTGGGGAGCAGAAACGCTGTTAGCTGTGGATGAGGGAAAAACGTGATCCGTGCATGGCCCTGAACCCCCCTGCAGCCCCCCGGCTTTGGTGGCCAGGAGAACCTGCCAGAGAGTTTGGGCCAGGCTGCGATCCCCAGCCCAAATCACTGAGGGGGGATCTGGGAGCTGCAAATCACAAGGAGAAATAGATTTTTGTATATGGTTGTGAAAACAATTAAAAAGGGGAGAAGAAAACAAACAACAACCAAAAAGGCATAAAACAGCTCAATAAATTCTGCAGCAAGAGCAGCAGATGCCAACTGCCGCCTCCCCTGCCTGTGCTGCTGCCTTTCCCGGGGCTTTTGTTTCTTGCCTCTGTTTCTTCACTTGCCAAAAATAGCCTGTGGGATGCAGATGCGAGGTAGTGTGTGGGAGGGGAGGAGATGCGATTGCTACCATCCAGCTGTGGCCCTCTCCTGGGCGGCTTTGTTCTCCTCCCTGGCCCCTGCCCGGTGCCATGGCGGGCGCAGGTTTCCTCTCCCCGTGGAAAGTTTGAAGGTCATCAATACACTGATTTTTCCCTTGGTGTGGGGCCTCTCTGTCACTCCTGGCGCTGTGGATTTTATGGTGTCTGAACTGATTTTTTTTTTTTTTTTTAATTCTTTCTGAGTAAAGAAAGGAGAAGGGGATGCGAGGGTGATGAGTACATGGGGCACATCAGCAGGACCGGCACAGGGAGGGTCATGGATGAGCAGCAGAAAGAACAAGCAGTGGCACGGTCATCTGCTGGGCAAGGTGGCTGCACAGCTCAAGACACACTGAAATCATTAGGAAAAAAATATGGGTTTTTTTTTAGTTTTGTATAAGAAATGAGATTTTGTTTTGTTCTTTTCCTCAAAAAAAGATTGTGATGCTGTTTTCCAAGTGGGTCTCACCAGCTTGTGCCACTGAGCTCAGTGCTGGAGGACAGCGTGGTTGTGCATGGTGGCTGCTCGGGTGACAAGCCCGTCCTAGCATCTCCGTGCACTACTTTGGGGTCTTTTTTTTTTTTTTTTTTTTCAGCCCTCTCCTCAGTTAGGCACTGTGTGCCTGGGTGCCAGCCTTGCCTCGGCACCCCTCGCTCAGTGCCAGCTCCCCCCAGCCCTTTTCCCTGCTCGGGGCAGGGTCCCCGTCTCTTTCTAGGAGCCACTTCCATCTCTTCTAGGAGGCCAAATCTGCCACATGCATCCCTGCCTGGGGGCAAGGGAGATTTCTCCCCCTTTTGGTTTGGGCTCTTGTGCCATGGAGTGGTCGGCAGGAGCAGCCCCCAGCGAATGGGCGCCTCCAGGGCATCCCCAGCTGCAGCAGTGTTTTGGGCTGTGCGGGTTACGCTGTTGGGTTTTTTTGTGTTTTTTCACATTGATGATCATTTGGAGCCAAATTCTGTTGCTTGGAGGATACAAGTGCTGCCTGCGTTGGATCGTGCGAAGGGGCTGTTGGGGAGCCAAGAGAAGGGGCCAAAGGGGCTCCGTATTCAGTGGCAGCGCAGGATGGAGGGCCTCTGGTGAAGGCCTGGATCTGGCCTCATGGGGGCCCGGCCGTGGAGCTGCTCCCTCCAAAATGAGCCTGGGGGAAGCCTCCTCCTTGCTCTTCTGCCCAGTGCAGGCTCTGGGGCACTCGGGTCCGGATGCAGCTCTGCAATAATTCCCCAAAACACCACTTGTGGTTCTTTTTTGCTTGCTCTTTTTCCCACTCTGACCGACGTGTTTGGAGAGGGAGAGCAGGGTCCGGCCCTCCTGCCCTCGATCCTCCCGCTTCGGCTGCGGGCTGAGAGCATGGCACATCTCTACCAAAGAGTTAAAAATACCAGCATGCAGGAGAGGTCTTGTCCAAGTGGTAGACCAAAGGAAATCCTGTCACCACACCTAATCTCCAGAAAAAAAAACATGCACTAACTAAAAAAAAATCAAAAAATAAAATCTTAAACAGGCAGGAAGTCACTTATCTACAGCAACCCACTGGTGCAGCGGAGAGCAGCTAGTTCTCCATAAAGCATCCTTGTTAGCAGCGTGCAAGCGGGGCTTGAGGGATGGAAATGCATCCCCTTCCCCTGGGACCAGGTGCCCTCCCTGCTGCAGGTCCGGGTGATGGTGGGAGCAACAGCCCAAGTGCCAGCGTCACCATCTATACCAGTATCGCCACTGGCACCCAGTAAATCGGAGGGTGGATGATGCGGCCACAGGCGCATTGAGCAGATCAGGGATGCCCAGAGCAAGCGCTGGCTTTGCTTTTGCGGAAGAAACAAAGGAAGCAGCACCGACAGCTAAGAAGCAATTTTTATACTTCTTTATTTGTTGAAAATGTCAATTAAAAAACTGTCCAAAATAAAAACATGTTAGAAAAGTTGAACTTGCATAAGTAGTTACGGTAAATAAACCTACATGACAAAGATAAACTGGAAGGCAGCTGACACAACATCCATCTAAAGACAGACTCACTGGAACCTATTTACAAAGCACTGTAAACAAAGTAAATATGGAAACATTGCTGTCCATCCGGCATGGCTTCTTTTCCTTTTTATTTTATTTTCTTGTCTTTTTTGGCTTCTAGCTCTTGACAAATGCTTGATCCAAAATGTCCCAGTGTGCCCTCCATCACATGACATCTTACACACATGCATATGTACACAGCACAGGTTTCAACTCAACCGGGGGGCAGCAGGGAAGCATTTCTACCCTCTCCTAGGGGCGTCAATGGCCCTCGGTTTGCTTCCTTGCACTGGCTGCACGTGGCAAGCCCGGTCCCCAGCCTGCCTTTGGGCAGGCAGCTGGGCCAGATGATGCTGGGGTGTCTGGGGCAGCATCCCAGAACAGCGGCGTGAGCTGCTCGGTGTGCAGCAAAGGTCGGTGTCCTGGAAAACATTTAACCAGCACAGCGGGGCTTGACCGCTGACCAAACCGCTCAGCTGCATGCCTGGGTGGGGATGCGGTGAGCTGCCATCCAGCAGGGATGCTCTGGAGATGGCAAATGTAGCCAGAGCAAAAAAAGACCTCTCTTTTGTCCTAGAAACAGCTTAGATTTAAAGAGGGTTTCTTTTTACTTGTGCTGGTTTTGAGTCTAGCTCTCCCCAAGCACCATTTGCTATGTTCTGGCTAAATTTTAGTTGCAAAGAGGGAGTGGTAGTTATTGCCTCTGTTATGTCCTTCATGACCAGCGTAACGGTATGACTGTAATGAGCTGTGGTGTGCCTACGCACCCTAGAACCATGCTGCCCTGTGATACATGTAAGACTTACCATTAACTTTAACAGAAGGTTACTTTTATAATGCTGCTAAGGAAGGAAGGAAAACATCAGTTCTAAACTAGGGTATAACACCAAATAAGATGAAGATAGCCGATACATATGCATGTTGCCTGTGTGCTGTGTTCGAGGAGCTGTGCAGGGATCTGGAAGGGTGTTGCACGTCCTTGCCCTAGGAGTGTTCCAGCTCTTGTCAAAGCATAAATAGCTTTCCTATCCCAGGAGAAAGTTCCTTTTTCCTAGCAGAAAGCCCCTTTGGGGCGATGGGGGAGAAGTGGTCATTGGCTACGTTCCCAGCCTTTGGGAAGGTGTGATGGAGAGCCTAACGTGGGCAGAAGGGAGCAGGGAACCAGCACGTTTGGGGGTTGGTTTTGTTGTCAAGCAGTGTTTACATTTCATACAGAGAAAAGCACATCCTGCGAGGGGAAGCACGGCAAAACTATAAACTCATACGATACCTGGACACTCAATGTGAAAACAAAGCAGGGGGTAGGAGTTACAGGTCATGCATAAGAAAAGGATGGGGGGCAGAACAGCAGGTACCTGTTGTGCTAATCACGAGCTGTTAGGAGGCAGTACTGTGCAACATACCTTCCCATGCGCTCTGACAGGTGCTCCAGATCTGACTTCCCCAAGGAGTTCAAATGTCTTCATGTTAATTGCACGTTTTAATCAGTATCAAGGCCACACGGGAACCACAGTATTGCTGGGCTCTAGTTCGCTACAGTCAACTAACGGGGAAAAAGAAGGTGGATGGGAAAAGCTTCCCCAGTTGTGATTATCTGAAAAGAGGAGCATGGTGTTTTTTGGTTTTTGCTCAATGCCACCTCAATAATGTTTTCATTCAATAAATAGGTACCGGTGCTTTTGAAAAGAATGAAAGCATTAAAAAGTGCTTAAGCTTCCTCTAGGAAACTGCTGCCAAACCCTTTGTGAGCAGCAATCATTAGCAGAGTTTGTATTTGCTCCCAGTAGCAGGTACGATGAGGTATTAGTTGCTGCAGATGAATTGTGAATCATGGACCGCTTGCTTACTGGTTTAGTTGTGATTGATTGTTTCTGGTTTATTTCCTTACTGGATGGAAGAAAAACTATTTTTTTCTCTATGACTTTTTTTTTTGGTAACAAAATTCCCCAAACCAACAAAATAAGGAGCAAGAAGAGGCAAAGGATCCAGTTCCGCTTCCCAAAAAACACCTGAGGTCACACATCACTGCCAGCAGCTTCTCCCCGAATTCAGGCGATCAGGGACGACTTGCGCCCCGTGTCCTCCCTGCCACACTCGTCTGTCTGCTTCAGCAGCCTTCTAACCAGCTTCTCCAAGTCCTTCCTGGATTTAAGCTCTTCCTCCAAACACTGTTTCATCCTTTTGTTCTCCTGCAAGGGGAAAAATAAAGGAATAAAGATGCAGTTAATGCCCATGCTCTTTATGCAATGAGGTCCTGGGGGCTTGGGGCTGGAGGGACGAGGATGTATTTCCTCTGAGTCTACAAGAACTGGTATCCACCAGACCCCTATAAAATGAACAGTCAAGTTGAAAGAGCTTTTAGAGTAGGGGGGAAGTTTCATGTTACAACAAAGACCAACTACTCCATCCCTCCTGCTGGCTCTGGTGCTCAAGGGACTGTGTGGTGAGCTGATTCAGGGAGCTAAACCAGAAGAAAAAACTAATGCTGATTCAGAAAGCTGCAGGAACGCACCAGCATCGGCAAGACTTTTCCTGGGCACTGACCAGTTGAAGACAACGACCCAGCGCAGCCAGCACAAACAAAACCACTCAAATTACCTGCTTCAGTTCTTTGACTTCATCTTTCAGTGCATAAACCGTGTCAACAAGGCTCCTGCAAAAAGAAATGCAAAAAAAAAAAAAAAGAAATAAAAAGGGCTGGAGTGCAGCAAAACAGCAACAGCATGGGAGCTTTTGTGAGCGAGGCGCTGATGGGGAAGGTGCTTCCAGCTTCTGCTTTGCAAGCATTAGGTTGCAGCTATTGCTGCTGCCCATGAGAGGACTCTGGAAACACAGCCCAGGAGCATTTATAGGCCACCAGTCTAAAATTCAGGGCTCTTTTCTCAAGACTGAAGAAAAATACCTTGTTCTGCTATCTTTAAGTTATCAGCAAAGGTCTGTGGCTTTGACTTCCTTGTTTATGCTATTGCAATAAATAACAATGATTTTAAAACTGGAAATGCCTGAGCATCTTTTGTAAAACGGCCTTGATTCCTTGAGGTTATGCTGCAAAAAAACAAGCACAAAAGGAATGCACTGTGTGGGTTAGAAAAGGAGCAGATCAACGCCGTCACCCAGATGCTGAAGCTATGTAACAGGCAGGCAGCACTCACAGGCAGCATTGCCTGGCTGTCAGGCAGGCTCCCGAGGGGTAGCAGCAGCCTAGTATGTCATGGGTTAAGTAAAAAAAAGCCACTTGTTTGGTTCTGTCCTCCCTGACCCCTTTAGCTACATCCGGATAAGCTCTGGGACTCAATAAACTGGCTCCTGGGACCCGGGCCACAGACTCCCAGAGGGCTACAGCCACGTCAGAGCAACTGGGAAGGCAGCTCTGTTCTTAAAAAGGGACAAAATAGCAACTGAAATAGCCCAGTGGTTCTCACCAGGACTAAGGCAGCAGTCGGTGACGCCAGCCCCGCTCCTCTGCAGAGACGCAGAAGGAGAGGGCATTAGTTTTTAATGTCCTTCCAAAAAGCGACAAGGGAATCTGCAAGTGGAGAACAGGCGCGCTTACTTTTCCTCTGTGACGGTCTGGCCGTTGCTTCGTGTTTCCTCTATGATGATTTTCTCTTCCTCAGGAAGAAGGACTTGGGGGATGGAGTCTTTACGGGAGCCTGTGTACAAGAATTACTCATCAGGAAGAAAAAGGGAGACTTTCTCTGATGCCCACGCCACTCTGGAGACAGCAGCCCTCGTTCTCCCTGCTCCTCTGCAAGCCTGGGGACGCGGGGACTTGAGCAGCCACCACCTATCTGCCACGGTTAAATACGGGCTTATACATATGGCTACCCTGGAGCTAAAGCAGCACGTGGAAAGTTTTCAAGAGTGCTCATTGCATCTAAAGCTACATCATGACTTCTAAATGAAATCATTCGATTAGGGTTAAGAGCTCTCAGAAGAAACATGGCCTCCCTTTTTTAAATGTACCATTATTTGATAGTTCAGTGATTTAATTTGACATCTCACCAGCAATGATAAATAGTTATATTTCCAGAGTTGAAGATGTTAGATAGGTTCTTATGAAGCAGCTTGTTCTTAAACACGCAGCTGATTGAGAGATAATATTCATGCTTCCTTTCTAAAGCTATATGCAACCTGAGATTACCATCAGGTTTTCAGTGCTGACAGCCACAGGCACTGACTAGGTTTGCTTAATTCCTAACAAGTGCTGGTGAAATAGCTGTGTCTCATCTGCCCTCCTACCTGCTTCATTCTCTGTGTTTAAAAGAAAAACAATGGCAACTAAACCACTAGGTAGATGAAGCTCCCTTATCTTGAAGATTGAACACCACACAGTTTCCTAGCATGAGTCTTGTTGCTGTATGATGCAACCATCTGTTTTTTTCCCAGAGGGGTTATCAGTGTTGCAGGCAGAGCGAGAACTACATAATTTGGTTGTGTGCCCACCTGAGCTGAGAGCTTGCTGGAAGCCTGCCCCCGTACAGTATGCCTCAATCACCTTCAGGATCTGAGCATCTTCTTCCAGTGCAGCCGTACCTGTAAAATATTGCAGACAACGGCTATCACAAAAAGCAGGGTGCTTTCTCCCAGCCTTTGCTCCCAAGTCCCTTAAGAGAAGGGCGTGTTGTTTCCTTGACTGACACTATCTCTGGGACTTTGCCTAATCCCTTTCTGAGGTCCTTTATATTTTCTGGCCTTTGCAACACCCTGTGGCACTGAGAACCATGATTAAATGGTATGAAAATGAACTTCCAGCTGCTCATCTCGGCAAAACTTGGGGGGTGATGCGTGACTCTGGGTGCAGGGAGCACCGGGAAATGGGCAGGCAGAGCAGCCCTGCTAGGAGGGGTCTGGTACGGCCACATCAGAGCAGGACTTGGAAATGTGAAGTCTTCATTTCCAGCCCTAGCTCAGCGCTGTCTTCTCGAGGGAGACAACTGACCTTCAGGCTGTACACCACAGCAGCTTGCCACCAGGTGACTACGGCCTTTCATCTAAAACCCCTGAGGAGCATCCCAAGTGGACTTCAGGGAGCTGTCAGGACATCCCTCTTTGCGGGTGTTCACCCCTGCAGGGACGGGGTCTTTTTTTGTTCCCTGGTCCCCCACGGAAACTGTTCCATAACCTGCTGGCATGGCCAGGTGAGGGTTTGTCCCAGCTCTCAGATATATTTTGATGAGCGTTGATGTGCAGTTTTACTGCAGCTTTTAACTACTTCGAAGTAGTTCCTTGGCTTTGTAGCCAGAACAAGACCACTCACAACCACATGATCTTGTGCTAGCAATCACACGGAGGGTGGCAGCACGCCTGGCAGTTGTAACTGGGAGGGGATCTGTCGGAGGCTGAGGACCAGTGCGCTTCCAGAAGCCTCCCATGCTCAGCAGCATGTAGGCTTGCTCACGTGAGCATCCTGTCGCATCCTGCACTGTAAGAAGGGCAGTTCTCAAAGTCCTGTGGAGATCACCGAGTACACGGAAACCTCCAAAAAGAAGTGAAAAATACAACACTTACTTTTCCGAATAACAAACTCTTCATCAGATGGTTTTCTCTCAGTTTTCCTTTTTGGAAGAAACTTCTTCATTGTTTTGGGACTTTTGCTGGAATCCTACAGAGAAACAGACTCTTGTGTTTAACCAGAACCAAAGGCAGCTCAAACAGCGGAGCAGCGCAGCTGAATGCAGCTATCCATGTTACGCACAACACATTAGAGAACTACAAAGCAGACAATGACAAAGTTGGGGAAAATGATGCTTTTTGCCTTTCCCATGCACCAGTTGTGTCCCACTGCTCCCTGGAACAGCAGTGGGAATTGCACCTGCAGGTCTGGGACAGGACAAGCTCCTTCAGCTAATTCAACCCTCGGCTAAGATCCTTTAGCCAAAGAATTCAAATACATTCACAGCACTTTTAGTCTGCTTACCAATTCTCTGGTCTTTGTTAGAAAACCCTATAATGTTGTTTATTTCCTTGACTCAATTTGATTTCTAATATAAGACAGTTGGCAAATGACATATTGTTTCCAAATGATTTGTTTGAGAGTATAAATTCCCCCCACACATACACAGAGAACAAACAAATACACACAAAGTTAGTGTCTGCTATGACTCCACAAGTAAGAAACACAAGCTTTTACCTCCTTCACAGAGTTATAAGTCTTGCTGATTTGGAGAGAATTAGTGTATTAGTAGGTTACATGCAATACGGATTTTAAGCAGGAGAAGAGGCATGCCAGGAAGTTTAAGTAAAGTACCATAATACTAAATCCTTCTTGAGAGTTATCTGAAAATATAGTTGCCACTGACTCTCACGAGAACTTACCAATACAGCCAGGCAAAATTAGGGTCATGCAAGCACAAGAAGCGTGAACAAGAACAAGCATTCTTTGCCACGATAAGCCAAAGAGATGTATCTACCCTTACCTTTAAGATATAAGACATCCTCTACAATGAATATGCAAAGAAAGAGAAGATGAGTGTGAGAGATTGATGATTTTATTGACCAAGTCCATTAAATCCACAATTCTAAAACACATTTAAATGTTAGTCTTGCGATTAGTGTGGCACACCCTCCATACTGGTTTTAGAGCACTATCAACATGCAAAGGAGCACAGTCTCATGCGAAACTGAAAAAATTACATGTGAAATGCAGGGTAAGTGGGCATTAATACACTCTAAACACATCAAAATAGAGAACATGCCTCCTCGGTTAGTAGTAGGTCTCTGCAGATGCTGGTTGTCTGAAACAGTGCTTAAAAATGCAGAACCCATTACAGCCAATGCTGCAGCCACCCTGTGTGCCCAGCTCCATCCGAGCCCCGGGGAGCAGCTTGGGGTGCGGCCCCATGCTCAGCACCAGTCCTGCGGTCTTCAACCCAGCCCAGCCAGGATGATGGGCTGCTCTGGCCACCCTGGTGACAATCTCCCAGGACTGCCTCTTCTCAAAGGAGACCTCCTCGGAGGGGACCTGCCATCCTCACTGGAGACCTGACAGCATCAGGCCTCAGCGCAGCAGCATCTCCCTGCTCCGCTGGCAGGACGGGGAGCTCCCTGCACACCCCATGGAGGGCTCCACCCCTGGGATGCTCGGCACAGGGAGCCGCGCGGCTCTCCTGCAGGTCTGGCCGGCCAAGTCCCGAATCCCGATGTTACAAACCCTTCATCTAATGCAAAGCAGGCCACTTAAAAAAAAAACAAAAAGAAGTAGAAGAAATCATCTGTAAATCTTTTTCACTTTGCTAACCTGAATCCGGACACACCGCTTTACCCACAGCACCTGCTCTGTCATTTCAAATGATTACTGGAAACAGAACAGGAAAAATGACCCAATTTCAATGGAAATAACAAGAGTGCTGTGCGCTACGCAAGCAGGTTCTGGGGTTTCCTGAGCGCAGCTAGGTACAAGGAAATGCACAAGACTCTGCCATCCCGTCCTACACTACCATAAGTCAATTAAAGTAACACTGGATGTCTGAAATTCTCTAATCTTTTAATCAAACTCCCCCACTCCCTTCCCTGATAATAATCTTTGAAATTTGTATTCCTTCATTATATCTTCATTATAGGAAGGCGACTTGCGCTGAGCTGTTAGCGTAGTTTCTTTTGTGCCCTACTTTATTACAAAAAAAAAAAAAAAATACAGTGAAATAGGAGTTCTGCTTAGCGACTGAGCACCCCAGAGAGAGGGACAAGGCAGATGCAGATGTGCTTGGGCCAACAATTGAACTTATTTCTCGTTTGTCATTGTAGGCTGGTGTCCGTGAGTCCCTTCCCTGAGAGGGGAGCTGCCCCCCAGGCTCAGGCTGGATCAACTGGGTACCAGACTGTGCCTGCACACCTCTGCTCCAGCTCTGGTGGACCCGTTGGCCTTTGGGTTTCTACCAATGTGGCCAGCACAGCCCATTCCTGTGCAAACCACATTTTTGGTCCTTTGACACCTTGCACGCTACCATCCCGCCTGCAGCAGCATCCCGCCCCTCAGGGCTCCCCGCCTGCTTGGCCTCTGTGGCAAAAACCTCTGGCCTGGTTTCGATGCAGAGAGTTTAACTCCTGCTATGCGCAGCAGGGGACAACTGAGAAACTGCAAAGGACCGTGGTGTTAATGATATCACTCAATCTGTGGTTTCGGCCTACCTTATAAACAAATATCAGCCCTGCACTGTCATGCAGAAAAATTTCTCCTCTAATTCAGGCCTCTTCCTATATTTTAATTGACCACACAAGCAAGAAACAATTTATTCTATGTTAGGGATTTGAACCATGCAAAGATTAAGGTTCATTTCCAGTCTGCTGGGTTGGCTTTTGAACAATTTAATTCCTAAACTGAAATGCATTGTCTTACAAATTTTAAGAAATAAATGTGACAAAACTCCACGAGGCTACCCAGAATCTCTACCTGGAGTAGCGGACCCACAGCCCCCCCCGGCTGCCGGGCTCTCCATCCCGGAGTGCTGGGGAGCTGGGGGGGTGCGAGCCCCCTCCTCATCCCCATCCCCGCTGGGAGCCCGGGCAGTGACGCTCCCAGGGCTGCGGTACCAAGAAGGGCAGCTGACTCAGAACCGGAGTGCTCATTCAGTAAGAGGAACGTTACCCGACTTACTGGTGAGTAATCCCAAAAGTTTAATGTGAGGTAGGGAAGGAGAGCACTGCAGTTGCAGCAAGGGGTGAGAATCGGAGCTAGGCTGTATTTTGGGTTTCCCCACGCCGCCTCCTACCTCCCAGGCTTGGGGTTTCTGTGGGGGAAGCGATCCCTCGGGCTGCTGCCTCCCAGCAGAGTACACCCACTTGGGTGGGTGGCGAAGGAGGGTCGAGCCCCACGGCTGCTGCAGGAAGCCCTGCTCCAGCCACCAAAGCACAGTGTGGAAGACACAAGAAATATCAACAGGCCTTTTTGCTCTTCCTCTCGGTGCAGCATTGCTGCTCGATCCTGCAGCACCGGTCTGGGCAAGGCTGAGCTGCTGCTACGGCTCCTCTCGATGCAGCACATCCCGGCAGGGAGCCCAGCTCCCACCCACGGCTTAGACCAAGGCAGGAGGAGGAGGAAGAGGGAAGGCAGCTCCACCACGGCACCAATGGGACACACAAGGCTGCAGGACACCCTGCTGCGTCCCGGTGACATTCAGCAGCCGAGGGTGCTGGCTATAGCAGCCGAGAGCAAACATCAGGAATGGGGCTGAGCCTGCAAACACATGTGCTCGTGCTTCATTTGTAGCACAAAGCCAGCCACGGCAACAAGCAACCATCGCAGGACTGGGGCAGAGTCATTTCTCTCAACATCCCCATTAACCTAAGCCTCAGAGCCCTCGCTATGAGACAAGAACCCCGGACACAAGCACTAGGGATTGCCATGAAACCTCTGCAGGCATGCGGGATGATTACCTCTTTGTAACTCAGCGCTGCTGATGGCCTGAGTGGAGGAGCAGGACGGAGGCAGCTCAAGCTCCAGGGCTTGAGGATTTTGGGGGGTTCCAGAGGCCCGCGGATCTGTCCAGCTGAACTAAATGTCTGAGAAAATAGGAGAGAAGCAAATGAAGACTGCTAGCCACCAAAAAATGCAGAGAAGCAGAAGGGGACGGACAAGTGTTCACTGCAAACTCCTTTGAGACATCTAGGTTGCTACAAAAATAGGGCAGGATACATGTAAAATGGTACAAGCACAACATGGTTACAAGCAAAACTGCACAATGTGTCTTACAGCTGTAGGCATTAACTCAGCATCAAGGTGCCTTGCCGAAACAGAGAGATCGGGCAGCGCTGAGGAACCCTAGGCAGCACAGAGGCTGGGGAGGTGAGATGCTTACCGAATGAGCGCTCCAGGACTGCGTTTTGGATACGGTGTTGCACGTCCCTTTGGTCAGCCTTTGCAAGTGGTCAAGCCATTCGTGCAATTCCTGGCTGGTGCTGCAGGACACGGTGATCCGCTCTGTCATGTTCCCTGCAGCAGAGGGTTAAATAACCATTTTTAGCAAGCGGTAGAGACCCAGGAGGAAACACAGGGTGAGCTCAATTCAGCACAGCAGCAAATGGCTCCTCAGCTTGCAAAGTCCAGTGGCAAAAGGCCAGTGCCAAGATGTGACTGCCCATCGTGCTCCAGGCACCCAGCACCAGCCAGCGTGGGAGCAGCACAGAAAAGCTAAGGGAACTGGCGAGATGAATGTGTGAGGAATTACTTAAGGTTAAAAGTAAGCAAACGCAACATTTCCATGATTAATAGGACCCTGACACCAAATACCACCAGCACAAATAGCTGCACTGCAGCCAAGTCACTGAGCATGACAACCATGTATAGCTACAAGTAATGAGATAAATTGTAGGGGCAAATTGGGAGGAACATGAGGAAAGCTACCTGATGACCAGAGCCATTAATCTGTCAATAAACAAGGTGCTCACAGCTGCATGGGATGGATCCTGGGTGCTGACAGGGCACGCATGGCACAGAGCAGTGCTACTGGGACCACAACCAGCCCTGGCAGGAGATTTGTCCCATACGAAACGCTATGGTCTCCAAAAGCAGACCAGAGACAGAGCTCAAGGGCACTGGGAGGAGGTTGCCTCAACCAGGAGGGAGATGCTCAGGAACTCAGACAGTGCATGGTAAAAAAGCAAAAAGAAGAGCGTGGCACAGTGGGTGGGGGGAGGAGGAGGACCAGCACCTCCAGCAGCAGCTGCTGTTCGGACTGGGAGGGTGTTCCCAGGCAGGGGCCACACTGACCTGCGATTTCAAACATGTGCTCGTTCCCTTCAGCATCTTCCAGCTTTGTCAGCGTCATTCCCGTCAAAGGCAGCTTTCCCTAGGAGAATTGAGGAGGAGTCAGTGTCTGCATCTGCTTTCCAGTGGGTGCTGTTCTGCTGGTTTCTGCTGATTCCTTTCTCTTTGGGAAACGCCATTAAAAACTAATTTGTGAAGGCTTTGGACTGCAGGAAGAGTGTCCTTTAATGTATGGATCTAGATTTCCCTGCACAACTAGGTCACCCCCCCCCCCGCACCCCCCGAGAAGAGGCTCCCATGACAACTGAGTCATCCCCAGCTCATCTGCCGCCCTTTCCCTTCACTAGGTGCAAACCCTTTTTACAACCGAGTCAGGAGGATGAATGTCCCCTGTTTTTTCTGAAAGCCTTCCCTGTCCCTGTTTTGCATGCTGAACTGCCTCCTCACCTTACTCACACTGGTGGGTAAGATCTAAAAACCCAGCCAAACCCTTCCCAAATCTTTCTGTCTTCCTCATCATCCTTGCGTAGGACAAACAACACAACAGGAGAGCATCCTTTTCCTGGAGGGTATTGATGGCTTCAGGCAACTGGAAAAAAACTAAGCTTCCAACAGCCTGACTGCAGCCATTCAAATGGTAAAACACAAGAAATGCAGTGTTTTGGGGTGCCTCGTGGAGTGGAATTTTTGGGCTCTTTACACTGGGCTTTATAGTAGTGAAGTATTTTCCAGAGATGGCCCAACCCTGAGAGCCGGCTGGCTTGGTCATGTGGGGCAAAACCCTACAGCTCGGTCAGGACACCTTACACACACACACACAAAATTCTCGAGAACAGCATGTAGGACAACATGCTGCAAGCATTTGGTTCTTTTTTTTCTACTTTCACAGCATTCACACTTACCAAATGCTGTTTAACCGGTTGGCACGACAAAGGCACCAAGTGTCCTGGAAGGCATGGTAAAACCAAGCCCTGGTTCCCAGCCTGGGGCATTTGCATCACAACGGAGAGGTTTAAGGAAACAGGATTTGAATTTGGTAAGAGCTATCTGATTTCCTTTTTCACATCTAACGCCTTGCAACTTCAAATTAAGCATGCCTACCTGATAGATGAACCCACTCATCCGTGGGCTTGCAGACAGCATCAGCAAAACGTTTGAAAACAACAATAAATATCGCTCTTCTTTCTCCTGCGGGGATAAGAATTTAGGTTAGTCCAGTTTGCAATGCATCACAAGCACTTTCCTCCAGCAAACTGAACCTGTTGCAGCTGGAATCACAGCCTGCGAGAGATCACCCCCACACCAATTATTTTGGCTTTTTTTCTTTATAGCATCTCATTTCTGTACTAGTTTTTCCTGTGTACATTTTTGTCTGCATTCTGCTACTCCTCTTCCAATCATTTCAGAGTGCCTCAGAAGACCAAGACCAATGTCCCCCAGCATTTCACATCCCAAACAGGACTCTGGGACTAGACTCTACAGGGCTTTGTTTCACGGGTCTTCCCTTCCCAGGAAAAAGTTGCTACAGCAAGCAAGCAATTCAGTGATAACAGGCACTTTCCCACGCTAAACATGCAGCATGCGCGGCTTTAACAGCACTGGTGAAGGTCTGTGGCAAGCACTGGTGCGATGCTTTAGGACCAGTAGCACAGGAATCCTTCCAGTTATTTCCAAAGCGCAGTCAGCTCTGGAGTGGGACGTCACAGCAGCCGCTGCGCTGTGCACAGGACGTGGCAAAATGGTTATGCTAATGCACACTTTCAAGTCACTCTCATTTCTCAGAGTAAGTCACAGGGGGAGAAGGAGGGAAATTAATGTGCTATACGACACGGAGATGCTTCTTTTGCTTGAAAAGTGTGTCACCAAAAGCCTGGAGCTAAGCCCCTGGGGTGTGGATGCAGTGCCTGACTCCTAAGATATGCACGTTGCGCAGCTCTCGTCCAGGTAAAATTATTTATCAGCATTATTTGTCAGCACTTCGCTGGCCTGGGGTGAGAGTAGCTGCCGCCTTGCATCACTGATCCTGTAAGCAAGGGGGTATTTGGACACAATATCTTTAGCCAGGAGAAGGACCACCGCACTCACCTCACTTCCCCCACACTGCACCATAACCTGGGACATGTAGACGATGTTTCCCATCGTTTTTATGTCCTCTCCTTCCCAGCGCTGGATGGATTCAGAAAGGATCTGCAGTTCGAGTTGTTTCCTCTTCCTCAGCTCTTGGCATTGCGACTGGGAATCACAGCGGGGAGCTTCGTTAGCCGAAGGGCAGGCACAAACCCAAACCATCCCAACGAAGATGGTTTCACCAGCAATGCTCCCGCAGCCACGTGGGCTCAGGACTGGTCACATCAAGGGATCAGGAAAGCCTGCTTTGGCTCTATTACATAAAGGTTGTTAAAAAAAAATCACACCCTAGCAATTTATGAAGTAATGAATACGCTAAAATGTCAAAGCAATTGCGAACTGCACTGAGCAAACTTTTCTTTCCAAACCAGTCGTACCTCTGAGAGTACAGGGTCACATTTTCCAAACCAAGACAGCCGCAGAGTTAAATGTCTCTAATTTTGCTGCTGCTTAGAGAGATTTTGCCCATTTTGCCCAAACAGCAGAGTTATACTTGCAGCAATGCAAAGCCCCCACGAATCAGATGGGTGGATATTTTCTAACTAAAATTTGCAACCCCAAAAGCAGGACTTGGCACAATATTTCAGCGGTGCAGTAGAGTAGCACAAAAAGAAGCTTTTGAAGGTGCTGTAATTGAAAAGACTGCACCAATGCTCAGCAGCTGGGGACTGGAAGAGCTCCACAGAGCAGCGAGTCCTTCAGCAGCTTTCAGCAAGCAGAGGACAATGCTGACTGAGCAACGACAGCCCTGCAAATCCAAGCAAAACTTGCTTTAACTGACCCCTCTGCCAACAGGGAAAATTGCTGCAAAGCCAAACCTGGGCTCAGTTTTCACCAGCTGTTTGGTTTTTTCCAAACCCCTGTTTCTGACAGAGATCTTCCTCCTTTCCAGCTCAGTTTCATACAAACTCTTTGACTATCCAGATCTTCAAAGAGAGAGGCTGCGCTGGATCTAGTCTGAAAACACACAATTTTGAACCAGACTATGGGGGCTTCCTATGGTCTTACAACTGATGTGTGCTTTGATGGCTCCCTGGGGGTCTGAATCCAAAGTCCCCAGGATGCAAATCCATATAAAATCCACAGCAATCCATCACAGTCTGTGCAGATGCGATGCAGCTCCATGGTCCCTGCCCTGCCGTCGCTCGGGAGCATCCCTGGTCCCACTACAGGACCACATGTACGTCGCAAGGGGCATTTCTGCCCATCGAACCTCAAATCTGCACTGAACCCTTGTAGTCATAATGTCATTATATTACATTGCTCAGTGCCCAAGTACACATTTCAAGTAAAACCATCCATCACTTGTGAGCATTCCTAAAGATTAATGATGCCTTGTAATTTAACTGAATTATTCCCCTATTATCTACTAGAATAAATGGAAAGGGAGCTGAGTTTCTAAGTAAATGTAACATGATCGCCCTTTCCTGTTTTCTATGAACTTTCTCCTCCCCATCTTTTATCTGCACTGCTAAGCACCGAAAACTTGCATCTGCTGTGCTAAGGAAGGAAGTTGGACCACATCTGGAGTGGTTATAGTGAAAGGCATTCAGTGGCTACAAAGCGAGAAAGACTATAGCTTTTTCAATAACCGAAAAAAGCTTTGCTGGGTAAAACCTTTGCGCACGTGGATGGCTTTCCCCCCTCTTTTTCATCTCATTGCTGTAGGACTTTGAGGGGCGTACCTAACACAGCTCACAGAAATAGGTTTGTTATCTTTGACTCATCCCTTCGCTGACGCTTGCTCTGTTCCCCGACGATGGCCACGGCACCCAGTGCCACAAATTACCTGCAATACGGTCAAAGCCTTCTGATGCCTGGGAAGCAAACCTCAACAAAACCAAGAGTTGCTCAACGGGCTCAGAGCGTTTGAGTCAGACACCCGTGTTAACCTTTCACAGCTCATCTGAACGAGCAAGGGGTGGTCTAGTTTCAGGCGGCAAATGATTAGGGCACGGAGGCAAAAGGAAATGAAAGGGACCCCACCGCCACCACTACCCACACGTGGCTTTCTGCAGTGGAGGAGAAAGTCGGAGATCCTCCGATTCTGCTGCTGGGACCATGGAGCTGTGTAACTGCTGAAACTTGCAGCCAGAGGGGCAGCTCTAGGCTTGAAACTTGAAATTAAGATTCTTTATAACCCATCTTTTCCATTCCAAAAGACCTTTTTTTCTAATGAGGAGACAAATGTCAGGCTTGACTCATTCTTTGTGAAATGCAGCTCTGAAACGGAGTGCTCTATTTTAAGAATTGCCACCTACCACAAGGGACTTGAAGGATGTGACGGCTTTCAAAACCTCTTCGTGATCTGCATGCGCCTCCTAGTGAAGGGAGAGAAAAATCCCTCAGCCACCAGCAGCAGCAGCACCCACTGCCCCGGCGCACCCAGGGCTTGCAGAGCTCGCAGGGTGCTGGGGGATGCGGGGCTCAGGCAGCATGGGCTGCAGGAGGGGGCCCAAATCCCCCAGGTACCTTCCTCACCACCCTGTTCAATGTGACATGGTTTAAAGCAGCTATGCAATTCATTGATACCCATTTAATGAGTGTAAAGTGGCCAGAGCAAGAGCAGATATGATTTTACTTCGAACAAACTCGGCTTGCAAAGAAAATCAATCAAAACAGGCAGAGGTACAGGGAAGGAAGCTTCCATTGGCATGCAAGGTATTCCAGCCATTGCCCCATCAAGGGTGTAGTTTCCATGAGCATCAACGGGAGCTTCACCTGCAGGTTTAAGGGAGGTCACGTCTGATCAGAGAGCTCTTGGGCCAGGGAGGGGAAAACGGGATGCTGCCCCTTATCTCTGACTGCAGCTGCCTTCTGGTACTCTCCCAGCACCTCCTCCTGGGCATCTAGGGCCCTACATCATAAGCTCTTCACCATCCAGACCTCACGCCAAGCAAATCCTAAGGTGCCTATGTTGTGATGGAGCTGTCCCTGCGGCTGTCAGAGGCTGCCTGGGATCGCTCACCTCTGAATCCAGGATGAGGGCTGCCCTGAGCATACCTGCCCTGTCTCCAGCTGCGCAGCAGTGCAGGGAATGCTGTGGTATACCTCCACACTGCATACATCTATATTGCATATATCCATACTCTTCCCACGGCATCGCAGCTTAAACCTCAACCCTACTGATTCATGCAACAAAACCCCCACACTCGACTTAGAAACTAAGAGAAATAGCTGACGTGTGTGTCCCCGAATCCACTGCCGACCCCATACAGCATCCTGCAAAGAGCACGCTGCCTCTGTACGGGCACGGTGGCTGCAGCCAAGCTCAGCTCAGTCCCTGCAGCTCAGCTAAGCCAGGTAAAAGCAGAACAGATCAGGTCTGTAGTGTGCCTACAGTGCAGGCTCTTATGCCCTCTCCTCTGCAGAAAACCCCCTGGCTCAAGCACGGAGGTTTTAATCCTCTGGCTGGGATGTGGATTCGAATGATCATGGCTAAGCCTGCTGAGTAATTAACTGGTAATTAATACTGGAAGAGGGAAAAAGCAAATCCAGTTAAAAATAGACTGTTACTTCTGTTTTCTTCACCTCCTTGCATCACTCCTGAGGTTTGCATCCTTGCGGCTGGAGTGCACCAGCGAGCAAGTAGCAAGCTCCAACAGCAGAGATCTTTACAGTCCCCGGGGGGAAAAATGTCCTAAAGCAGATCTGCCACCCGCCGAGGAAGTCTCCGTCCCCCCTCGCTGCTCTCCGTGCTCCCAGGCACTCGCTCCTCCGCCCCCGTGTCTGCGGCCGGCTGCCAGATCGATGTCTGCCTGGTGCAGCTCTGCCTCCACCCAGGAGCACCAGCCTCGGGCGAGGGGTGGGGATGCGCCTGCGACCTGCAGGAGCGAGCAGCCGGGGATAGGAATCTCATAAAATTATAATAAAAACACTGATTTATTACCCGCTGTGCAAATAAATACCAGCTGTAGCCTGACTCTGAACTCTGCTTTTCCTTGTGCTGGAAATGGCCCATCTTTGAGGAAGGGCTGGGGTGAAGAGCAGGCAATGCCTTCCCACAGCATCCGCCTGACTCCACCGCTTTCCCACTTTTAATCTGAAAGGTAGATAATGTCCCACGGAGGGGGAACACCTCCTTGGAGGGGTGGTAAGGGCTTTTAGCAATGTGGTGCTCAAATACGAATGTGCAGAGGTACCTCTTGCATCTCAGGGGGCAGCTCTTGCAGCACCAAGGGGCACAGCCTGCCCAGCAGTCCCACATCCGACCTACCTCCATGTGCCGCTCCAGCTCCTGCAGCAGTGTCACATATTTATCCAGCCTCAGGAAGGGTTTGCTGAGGCTCGTGGTTAAGATGAGAATGCCTGGGTTGGCCGCACCCTGGCTCTCCATGAACTTCTCCAGCTCATCACTATAAATAGAGACAACAAGGAGGGCTCGCCACTGCTGAGGGCTGTGTTTTGCTGCCTCCCACACTCTCCTGACGCCCGGGGCTCTGCTCCGAGCTGCACCTTTTTAAAAGCAGCCCAGCCTCCCCTCCAAGCACCCCCTGCCGCAAACCTGGCAGGGCTGGCAGGGAGCTGCGAGCTTCCAGCCAAGCAACACCCCGCTCCCCGGGGACGCAGGGGAGGATGCTGCTGCGTGGTGGCAGGTGTTGGTGTGCACAGCCTCTGGGGTACATCGGTGCCAGCAGCTGGTCCCCCGGCACAGCGAGGTGGCACAGGGCCAGGCATCTGGTGGACAGCAGGGGCTGCAGAGGCTGATGCTGCGCCGGAGGATGCTGCAGCAACGCGCCGGCAGCCTGCTGGGAGGCGTGACGCTGTTGTGAGCTCATACATTGCTCTGGAAAACATGGCTCGTGCGTGTCAGCACATTTGCCAAAGCTGGTTCTTTGATTGGTTTAAGAAAAGGGGTCAGAGTGAGGAACCACATGAATGAGTCATTTACAGGAGCCAGGCTTTTTGTTAGGCTGAATTAAAGCTGGATTTCAGCAGGTGAGTAAATATATTGTGAGTTCCCATTACAGAATGGGAAGACTTAAGCAGTATGGCCATGGTCCTGGCTTTCCCATCGCTGCAGGGAGGGCAGGTAAACTGCATTAGGGATGACACAGTTGTAGCCTTTTGTCTTGGCATGCTCTTTAGCATGACATTATATAAATTCAAGTGACTACTCAAGTGGGACATGTTGCAGGAAGATGTTATTACTGCAATCTACTGATGACCCTGCAAAGCAACCACTTGGTTGAACAGCAGCTCAATTATTAAATTGGGTAATTCTGGGTGACTTGACGACCACCCTCCTATTGCAGCGATGCGCCCCACACCGTAGTGCCACAGGGGAACATACTCCCATTTGGCAGCGTGTGAGTGCTTCAGCAGTGAGTCTGAAACAGCATCTGGGTCCCTTAGCAAGCAGCAATCACAGGAGATGCTACTGCAAGGGCTGAGGTTACTTCAGTTTTACCCAAGGTAAGAGTCCTGTATGTGCAGACAGGACCTCTGAGACCAGCTCTGAAGTTGAGTTGCATCTGTGCTGGGGCTGAGAGGCTATGTTGAAGAGCCCAAAGCCCCTGCAGTTTTCCCAGCAGCAGGATCCCATGTTATCCCCCTTGCCCTATCGTCAAAATACAGGTCAAAAGCCATGCCGGGCCAAGTAATAATAATAAAAGTAACTTTTTAAAGGAGGGATTTCAGTCTGAATCTCCTCCATCACTCACCTGTGTTGCGTGAGGACGTTGACTGCAGACGGGTGGTTAGCACAGTATGTCAGGTACAGGGACCTGAACTGGGGCATCAGGTTCATGAAACAGCCTCCCACACGCTGCTGGTTCTCAGGGAGCCTACGGATGCCAACACACCAGCCACAAGGTTAAGCCTCTTGATCTGCACCCTGCAGCTACAGTACTCTCAGGTATCTGCCCAGGAACCACCCGCTGCATGAGGACACTCCGAGGTCACCGCATAACAGCAGCACCGAGAAAAATACCCATGCCTGCCACTTGGGAAGGAGGAAGGAGGTCCTCAGATGGGACTGGGTTTCTGGGGTGCAGACAGTGAGTATCATAACTCGTTATCGGCCCAGGACAAGGTGTGACCCAGCCTGTCCTGTCCCACCAGCAGAGCTGCAGCTGAGATGCTGTAGCCTGCTGCGGCTGATGAGGATGTGTTGGAAAGCACTGGGTGCAGTGGAGGGGTGGTCCCACTGACTGGGCTGCCCATGAATACGAGAGAGGAGATGGAGAGAGAAAGGGAAGGCACAGCCTGAATACATTTCCAATATTCAGTCTTTTCTCCATCTCTTTTCAGCTCTTCCAAAGGCAAGGCTGGGCTAAGGCTGAACATGCATGCCAGCCTCCCCACGGGAAATTATTACCTGTAATAATTTGCTGTTTTCTCTCTGGCAATCCCCATCTTCAGGTCTGCCAGATCTCCCACCCTGCATGTGTCTGCATCTTTGGTCTAGTGACACTTTCATGTCAGGTCTACTGACACTCTCATTCAGCAGATGCCTTAACAGTAGAAATGTCAGAGTTTCTTCTACCTTCCCTCCTGCCAAAGCACTACCTGCTGCCTTTCTACAATCCTGTTATTTTCTTCTATATTTAACAAGTCTAAGACAGCAGCCAGGAAGAACATTAATGAATGTATCTTTCTATTATTTTTAGCTGCAGTTTAATAGCTTAACGCCCTCAGCAATACGGCATGAGCTTACTTTGCAACTTCTTCCAAGGCTTGGTTCAGTGTTTGCTGAAATGCAGAGATTTCTTCCACATTTCCCAGTAATGACGCGATGTCCACGGCGCTGAGCCTAGAAGAGTCAAATCGCCGATTAGCATCAAAGAGATGTTGCTCTCAGGAGTACCCCCATGGCACCTGTAAGCACTCCTTCCAAAAAGACCCAGGAATTTGTCTTTCCCCAGATACACCATCAGACATGGGTAAACACAAAATCCATGATCTGTGAGCTACATACCACAGCCTCCCAGAGAAGATGTCTGTTCTCAAAGATTATCTTAACTGGATTTTAAATCACTTAATCACACTAATCTTCTCAGATGTTTAGCTAATAGAAACAGACAGATGGGGATTTCAGCCAGGGTGGGGAGGGAGGTGTGTGCATGGACACAGCGACAGCTTTGTCTTCAGGGATTCATGCTGTGGGTTTCCCTACGGGAGAAGGGTCCTACAGAGCAGCCCCTCAGGTAGGGGTTGCTTTTTTCCTTGAGTGAGGTTGGATTTTTCCTAGCCAAAACTAACGTGCCTCCTTCTGTCATCCTCAGAGCAATCCTCAGCGTCACTCTTGTACCACCCTCATTTAAGCCATTTGCTTAATGCCAAGGCTGAGCGCATGAGAAATTTTCACAGCTGAATACATCCCACGTGAAGACAGGGGGAAGGAAGGAAACATTTAAATACAAAGGCCTTAACACACCACTCTCCCCTCTCTCCAGACTGGACAATGTCTAAACATCTGCCCTCTGCCCGTGATGCCCTGGGGCTGCCCAGTCCTCCTGCAGCATGCTCAGTCAGAGGGACCCTGGCCCCAAACGCAGCTGCAGGGATGGGGTGGCCAAGCCAGCACCATTCGGAAGAGACAACTGTAAGGCTGAAGCAATAAGCAGGAGGTGAAGTTAACTGCATTGGGTCTTCTATGCACAGTGAAACTATCGATAGGAACCTGCTGAGGCACCAGCATGCTGCCTGTCGCTGCCTGGGTAAGGACAGGACGGTACGTACTGCCTCTGGCACCACCCTCGCCAGCACGGATGGAAAACACACAGGCTTATTTCCTCAGGTAAGCCCTGACAAAGTCCCCCAGTCTCCCCAGAGTTGCTCAGGCCTTGAGGGATGACAGAATGCTCTTCCCGAGCACGGAGGTACTTAAAGCCGATGGCTGCACAGACGGGGAGACAGGGGAGTCACTTGTTGCTCAGCAGCAGTTTGGATTTAGCGAGAGGCAACCTAACCGCAGAGAATACTTGTCGTCGCGTGCAAAATGAAGAGATGACTAGGAGATGCTGCTTGGGGCTGAGAAGTCACAACAAGGCAAATTACAAGGGGAGAAGCCATGCAAGGCACACCGCCAGGAAACATGCATGTCGGGAGAGCCACACACGAGCTTGCAGATGGGTTGTAACAGCCAGCCCAGATGGAAATGCCCATCTCTAACACAGCCAAATGCCTGCGTGACCACTGAGGAATAGGAAAGAGCAGAAACCTGTACGTGAGGCTTTTTTCTGGTTCATAGAGGAGCTGTGAAGCTTTACAAGAAGAGCAGTAACAGTCCCTAAACATTCAAAAGTAGGAAAGTAATGAACTATGGTCGATTTTACAGGGTTCTCTCCACCTCAGATGCCCTTATATCTTACTTATCATAAGACTGGAGGGGTCTTAAGTAAGTTCCCAGAAGTGACTGTAGTTCCTTCGCATAATCTCGTTCTGTTTCCAGAATATTTTGCAACACCTAGGGTAAGAGACAGAGCACTGAGTAGATCTTAGTACTAGCGACTAGTCAGAGGAACATGACATCAACTTCCAAGTGTGGAAAAGCATGGAAGTGTATTTTAAGTTCATAAATTACATTTGTTAATGCAGAACCCAGAACGTTCAGGAAAGCCCTGGGGGTTCCAACTTCAGGATTTTACTTTGCAGACTGGAGGAGGTCTCGAAAGCACGTGCTAAGGGCTGCTCCTTCTTCTCTGGCAAAGCATGAAGACAACATCAGTTCAGACCTGAGTTTAGTATTTGACGCCTGAGAGGCTCATGCCTAATCCTGCATGCATAACTGGCTGCCAAGGTATGCAAACAAATGATTTCTGCATGCATCCTGGGAGCACCGTTTGCACGAAGGCAGGCAACAATTTCAATGCAACAGTGGCCGGACCAAGGACGGCTCCTGCGGCAGCTCAAGCCAGGGCACAGTTCACTTGCCACTTCAAGGACGTGCTGACGCGGGTTTGGTCCTGCTAATCCATCTCAGCAGCCAGTTGGTCTCCAGCAGCAGGGCAGGCAAACCCACTGCCTGCACACTCCCAGTTAGCACTCAAGTTTCTCAGTGTGGATGGGCTTTGGAGACAGTGGAGGTGGTTCCCAACTCTCTGGATGTATTGTTTCTGCTTTGCTTTGCTTGAAATATATTTAGACATGCTGATGAGCACGTTTCACCTCCGGCACTGAGAGCCAGGGACGCTGACATGCAGACATTTTAACTCTCTTACAGCGCAGGGCTCACTCTAGCCTGGACACAGCGGGAAGGTACCTGTCCCCCTTTGCCAGACTTCATCGCTCCAGCAGCAAGATGGTGGAGGTGGTGATGTTTCTCCACCCCTTCTGCAGCCACAGTTCACAGCCTGGCATGCTGACCTGCTCCAAAGCCAAGCCCAGACAACAAGCCAGGCTGTGAGCTGTGGAGGCTGCCCCTTCTCCGAGGGCTGCAGCTGCTGGCAGAGGCACAGAGCAGGCAGCTTGGGGTGTAACATCTCCAGCCAAACCCAAGAAAGGGATCATGGATCAGAGCCCTAATTTGGCTTGCTTCACACCATGACATTATCTCCCCATCCCCAGGAGACAGCTGGCAGTCAATGGCAAGGACTGGACCAGAGACATCGTGCCTTATTCCCCAACACTGATCTCAAAGCTGCCACCTCTGCTTTGTTATCTCAGTTGCCTACTTTGAGTCTCTCCTTTTGACATCTTGCAGCAACTTCCATTTGTGGTTTATTGTCTTGACATCCCTGAATCAAGGAAATGGCAACAGCAGCATTTAAATACAGAGTCATATCCCCAATTGTTACAAATTGCTTCAATGATTTCTAAGGGAAGGAGTCAGTTCAAAAGATTAATAATATGCTACTTATTAAAATGTATGATCAGCACTTTAAAACTTACCACAGGGTAATAATTCTTTGTCAGCTGAGTGCTTTCAAGTCCTTTTAATGCTTTGGGAGAGAGTGGTTTATCTGTACAAAAAAAATACATCAATAAATTACAGTGCACAGCTCTCATTATTCGAACAGGAAAAGTCACTGCCGCATCATGTCCAGCAAACATAACTTCACCCCTGTGAACACAAAACTTCAATTGCAGAGTTTGTTTGCCTGCTTCAGAAAAACCAGGCGCAAACCAAAGGCATGCACGACACTGAAGGCAGCCGAGTGAGTTGCACCAGAAGCACCGCACGGCCTCTGCCAACTAACTTACAGGTTTTCTCTGAAATCCCTGGCAGCAGCCCAGTGTCTGGCACTGTTTGGAGCTACAGTGTGGCTTCACCCGGCCCACAAAATTTGGGTTTTAAAACTGGGTGTCTATCAGAAATGCTGGATACAGCCATTTGTTCCAGGTGATTCACAAGGCACTTCAAGCCAACACCAATCAATATGCTGAACCCCGACCCCCGCAGTCATTCGTGATGCAAAATCCTTCTCTGAACAAAGGTAGATTTGAATAAAAAGCTCACACAAACCTGGAAGTCAATTCTCATCTTCTGCGTTCGTTTGCTAAATCCCTGTGGATGCCTCCAGCGTGGTGTGCACATGCACACACACACAGGTGCAGGTCTCTGCTCTGTTTTTGCTTCCCTAGAGAAGCCCACTCCCTGCCAGCAGCATGGCTTTGCCAGGTCTCCCGGCACCGCAGTGGCACCGTTACCCCTCCGGACTGGGACAGGTCAGCAGCACAAGGCTGCAGCGCCAGCCCTGGCCACGCTGCACACCTCGTACCGAAACACCTCTGCGCTGTGTGGAGCAACCAGTCTCTCCTTTCTCCCTGCAATCACTCACAGAAGGCAATTACTTTCACACCGATAGCAGGGGAGAAGCCTGAAATTGATAAATTTAGCCCCTGGAAACCGCAGCTTGATGTATTGTCTAATTATTGCCCTTGTAGAGTGTCCTGTCACTTCCAGCTGGGAGCTCTGTGCCTCACCTAAAGGCTCAGAGGAGCTTTGCTCCATGCAGCCCGTTATTTCCACCCAAAAGGGCACGCTTAGGACACGGTGGAAGTACAGACACTGCTAAAAAACAACTAACTCCATTTAGAGTGACAAGTCTCACACGTTGCAGGTGAGGAAAGCAGCTCCCGCTGGCTTGCGGCAAGGGCTCCCGCTGGGGTGCAGCCCCCAGGCAGCGGTCCTGGGGTGGGTTAGCTGATGGTCCCTGCATCCATCATTTGCAATACAGCCACGTGTCCTGAGCAAGCAGAGACGAGGGGAAGGAACCCTCCTCCCAGGTGAAATGGGTGCTGGAGAGAGGATCTGGAGGGAAAAGCTCTGCAGATAAAAATATTGGATGGGCTCCTACATCAGGATCAATGGGAGAATCGTCCTTCACTTCAACAAGGTGCCACTATTTCATGCAGCTCCCATCTTGATTTCCCCCATGGGACTGAAGTTTGCTCTCCTTTTTTAAAAAGCATTTCTCTTCTCCACTCACTGACTTAATTAGCAATTCCTGGGTTGTGCCAGACAAGCCTTCAATCTCTGCTGCAACGTCCTGCTCCAGCTCAGACATCATTTCCCAGAGGGAAATAGTGGGAGATGAGATATCCTAACAATGATTTTTTCATTTAGAATTAAATAAAAACTGGCCTAATTCTGAACACTCACTCATTAACTTCATTCTTTCCTCCTTTGCTTTTTTTGGTTGCAAGCGTGGGAGCAAGGATGCCTAACAGAGGCTGTACACTTTGCAGCCACTTTGCAGACCACTGCTGATGTCTCACAGTGGTTGAGGCCAGGGCTGATCCTGAGCCACAAAACCAGCACTGAGCACACAACAGGTCTCTGTCTAGGGTAAGCCCTCAAGGCACATTAAGGAATTAAAGTTGGATTTTGTAAAAAAAACAGGTTTACACAATGGCCTCAGAAGTACAACGGGGTGAGCTCCTTGAACGGATATGTCACGCTACCGGGCAGTTAGCCAGGGGCATGCTTCATGTCTTCACCACCCCACATCTGGTTAAAATCACATCACAGAAAATGTTAAGGACACTCAAGACAAAGCTCGATAAAGGCAGATGTCATCAGACAGATCGGCCCCTCCCTCCTCCTTTCTCAATATCGCAGCAGAAGACGCGTCTTGGGATGGGGAAAAATGTGCTGTGTGAAATCAGTCATCGCTATAGACAAAACCAGGGGACCATTCCCTGTGGCCATACAGTTTTTGTTGGTTTCCTCACTGCAACCGTGAGCATCCATTCCACCGCTGCCAGAAATGGCAGGACGAAACGCAAATACATTGCCTGACCGAGGTTTCTAACGAAGAGCTCATTCTGTGCTCAGACACTGGAACGACCTGGCAGCTCCCCAGGACAAAGGGGACACATGCAGCCATCTCTGGTCTTGCCCTCCGACCACGTCCCCGCTCCCGCGCTGCTGCGGCCTGGGGGAGCAACGGAAAAGCACGATGCACTGGGGAAGAGGGCGAAGCAGCTCTCAAACAACTCATGCGAAAGACTGGGCTTTACCCTTCTGGCCTCATTCTTCCTTCCATTAGCCCTGCTGCTTTAAGAATGCAAACGGTCCTTAATAAATAGCAGCAATTTCCCAAAGGCACAAAGATCTACACTGCATTATACCGCTATCATTCAATCAGCCCTTGAAAGCAATTTGCTTACCGGTGGATTTGATTTCTCTGACGTAGTTGCTTGGGAACCAGCCTGTTTTTCCATTCAAGGTCCCTTCCCACCAGCCCCCTTCTTCAACCCGGGTGACATAAATAATGTCTCCTTTGTTAACGGAGAGTTCATCCTCATTGGTCTGCTTAAAATTGAACCTGGCCTTTACCACCAGCTGATGACTGCCATTCTCGGTCATCTCCTAAGGAAAGAAACAGGGAAAAACATCAGTAAATAGTCCAAAAAAGCAGAAGCCGCTAGGACAAGCTATTGTTCTTCTTTGTTGTGACAGCTGTTTTTTCAGTACTGCTCTTTATAACAGCAATAATGTCTTGCTTTTGTGTAAGCACTCCTGCCAGAGGACCACAAGGTCCCTCCCAAGCATTAATTTAGTTTCACAGTGCAATGGAGGACAGATAAGAATTGCTCTTCTCATTTCACAGAGAAGATTTGGAGAAGCCACGAGACTCTCTCCAGCCAGGGCAGCAAAGCCGTGATGGAGATCCAGGGAGAATAAGCCTCTCTGGCATGCCCGACCCAGAGGTACCACTCGCACCCCTCTACCCCCGCAGCCACCAAACCCTTGATGAGATGTTAAATAAAGGATACCACAGGCTTGGACTGCCTCCTTAACACCCTCGCTGACTGTGAAGCTGTGCCGTTGGAGTCAGTGTGGGGACCTCCAGCCGCAGAGCTAAGAGACGATAGATGCGAACATGGCCCTTTTGACGGCTGATCTGGTGAAGCAAAAACAACACCTGGGTTTTACCCAATTGTCCACCACCCCTCTGCATCACAGCAAAGCAAAGAGTAAAGCTCATACAGAAAACACGAACAGGGCACAACAGTTGAAAGAGCATCTATCAGAGCAAGATAGCAAACCCATTGCACCTCCAGTGTGGGCACTCCTAGTCAACAGTGAGGATGGTTTTGCTGGGCTAGGTTAACCCCTCCATGACGGAAGAAGTTGAACAGCATCCTGAGGCAATCCTAGGTTATGCCAGCTCTGCAGCCACACATCTGATCGCAGTATTCAAGTTGTGCCAGGGGAGATTTAGGTTAGATATTAGGAACAATTTCTTCACGGAGAGAGTGGTTAGGCATTGGAGCAGACTGCCCAGGGAAGTGGTGCAATCACAGTCCCTGGAAGTGTTCAAAAAACGTGTGGATGTGGTGCTTAGGGACATGGTTTAGAGGTGGACCAGGCAGTTACGTTAACAGGTTGGGCCTGATGATCTCAGAGGTCCTTTCCAACCTTAATGATTCTATGATTCTATTTTTTTAAAATCCTCCTTAAAACTGTAGAAAAGTAGAATAATACTCAGCCCAATGCTGCCCAACTGGGAATGTTTCTGGGATCCAAGTAAGCACTGTTGAAGGTGTTTCAAAGTTTAGCTTGCAAGTGAGCGCTCTTAGGTCACCTCCGCAGCTGCAGCGTGGGCTTTCCCGCCGAGTGGGGAAGAATGCTGAACAGCTGGTCAACACAACCGCTTCTCTATTTAGATAAGTCCCTCTGGGTTCATTATACAGCTGAAAGAGGGTAGGCACAATTCTGATTACTGTTTGTGGACCACTGCCATTAGCCATGTGAGAGAGGGATTCAGAGCACGCGGAGGAAGGACAGGGGTGTCACCCCCAGGAGACGGACAGCCCACGGAAAGGCTCAGATCATCCCAGCAGCTCTTGGAGTTGCCTCCTTCACATGCTCGAAGCTCCTCACTTTGCAAGCTAGTCTCTGGGCTTGTTCCTGCCACCACCTGCCTGATGCTGGAAATAATGCTGCTGCTCTGACACATATCTATTTTTCATGATTAGTGATTTGTTTCTATATTAATACCGAAAAACTTGCCAGAGGGTAAAAAGTTTCCTGGTCACAACTGCCCTGTGCTGAGACTGAGTCAGTGGCCTCGTCACTAACAGCAGTCCCAGCTCCTGCAGGACCTGGCAGCGCTCAGCCCCAGAATCCTGCTTGGATGCTGCAGAGCAGTAAAAACATAGGATTCAAGCCACCCAGTAATTCCCAGTACTTCTCTGCTACTGCACCTCATACCACACTGTGGGACAGCACTCAGATCACCTCCTTTCTATGTGCCATGGTGCCCAAATGAAGCAAGAGCAGATATTATAATTTTAGTAAACTGTGAAGTACTTTTAAGATTTGCCTTGTAGCTTCTTTTTAGATTTAAGATCATTTCTATATTCCAGAGCTGTTGTTTTCCACCTGAAGTGTGGACCTAGCATGCCCGTGGATCCCAAAAGGAGGACAGAGAAGAGCGTTCTGCAGGTATCACTGTGTGTAAGTCCCCTGGATAACGTTTGGAGTTCTTCTTTGAAAACGCTGCAAGAGGAGAGGGCGATCAAGCCACCAAGCATGCACAGGAATCAGAAAACACAAACTCTAAGGCTGCTGTTCCCCCGTTCTCCTCCAGTCTGAAAGTCAACATGGAAAAATCATTCCGAAGGGGAAGTCTGGTGGGAGTTACAGGAACTCAGCTGGGCTTTTATTCTCCCCAGAGGATTTTTCTTTCAATAGAAAAACACCTCATCCTTAGATTGGACCTGGAGCAACACAAACTGTCAGCTCTTGGAGAACGGACTTGCTTTGTCTTTCTCCAACGCCTTGCACAATGGGGACCAGGTCCGTGACTACAACTTCCAGGCGCCGCCGCCTTACAAACCCCCAACCATACCATACCCACATGCCGGTCCGCCCGGTCCATGCTCCAGCGATGGACAGCATCCACGTTAAATCTCGTGTGCTGTCAGTGAGTCAGTTTTCTCTCTTGCCCTGCTCGTTACACAACTGCCCGACGACCGCACGGTGAATTCCCAGCTCCCTGGGCTGCAGAAACAGCAAAACCCCTCTGTGTGGAAAACCCACTTTGCAAACATAGAATGGGTTTTTTTCTCTGAAGCATCCTGATATTTGAGCAGGAGCGGTTTCGGCTGCTCCCGGCAACGCACAGGCCAGGAGGGGTGGCCGGCTGCCAGCGTGAGATGTTCTTCCCCTGATTCCTTCTAAAAGGGAGGGCGTAAACCGCGAGTCCAGACTTCTCCGCTTATTCAAGCCATCAGCAACAGTCCCACAGAAATGACTCGGTTACTGTAGATTTTATGCTTCTCCCTGCCCCTCCCAATCTTCCAAAGCTTTTATAAATATCTGCAGCAACCTAGAAACAAATGTAAAACTGACTTTGACAGTTTGGCAGGGAAATGTATCATTTATATTGCATCATGACAGCGTCCTATTTTATGCCTGGTCCAGCATGGAACACTGCTGCCATATGTTGCTTAAACTATGGTTAAAATAGCTGGGTTTTCTGCTCACATTCCTTAGCTATTTTTGGCAGATGAGCCTCGCCTGATCCAGCACAGCTGGTTTTCCTCCCCTGCCCTCTCTTGCAGATAAAAGCAGCAAGCTCTGTATTGCTGTTATTTGATGGACAGCTGCTGAACTCTGAGTTTATCCGCTACAAACGATGCCTCTAGTTATTTGCATAACAAGATCCACGAAGACACAAAGATTTGGACTTCAAATGGATGCTCAGAAACACATTCCCACGGCGTCTCCTTAGCTGTCACCTACTTCCCTCTGCCTCCGACAAGGGTGTCGGGATGCAGCAGCTCTGCAGGTGTCAGGATGCGCAGGCATGCCAGAGCCCCAGCCATAGCAGGAATTGCAGGAGCTGGTAGCAGGCTTGTCCTGATGCTCCATTCAGCCCTCGGCCTCTGGCGAGACGGACAAACCGGACCATCTGCAGTGGCGGTTTGTAGGACACAGGCTCTTGCTTCTCAGGAACTTGGCCAAGCCACCAAAAAGCAAACGTTTTAGACATGTATTTATTTTACCCTGTACTTTTCCCAAGGGCGCTCTCTGTCTGAGCAGCTAATTATATCACAGCCATTGCACTTTTTAATATTTAAACAGAGAAAGCATATGTTCAAACAGATGTTTGCCGTGAAACCAAGAGGATTCCAGCTTCCCTATAGCCCCGTCGGTAATGTGTGATAGAAACTATTCCACAGCAAAGCCCCGTCCCGAGCCTCGCCTGGTGACTGCACAGACTGGACTGGGACACGGGTGGCTGCAAGGACCGAGCTGGGGCTGTAAATAAGGGGGCTGCTGTGACAACGGCACTGCAGCCTCACCACCCCATCGGCACACGCCCCATCACACCCCTCTGGTCCAGCAACGGGCAAGCGCAGAGGCAGGAAAGTTTCTCACTCTTTTTGCTTTCAGAATAATGAAGCTAATGTCAATCATAATGACAGCGTTTGCAAAGGCTACTCCCGGTCTAGGTAACCTGCATTTTATATCCCCCGTCATATTGAACTGCAAGAGCTTTCTACATGGGGTCAGCGGCTGCTGTCATTTAATGGAGCGGTAAGAGGCTGTAAGGAGATGTGCTGATCCTGAATCACCATCGCTGACTTCTAGGGAGCGAGCTGGCGGCAGAGCCGAGTGCTGCCTGCGGAGAGGCAGTCCAAGAAGCTGAATTTCTTCAGAGCAGCATTATACACACATGCGTGTGTACACATATATATTATTACACATTCTATATTATTATTATATTATTATATATATGCTGCTGTTTATATAATATATGCATTATAATAAAATATACAGGTTTATATAATGTATAAATATAGTATATATTTTTATATATATGTTTTTATAAAGCCTTGCATCAGAACAGAGCAGAGAAGAGGAAATAGGGAGGAGAGGGTCCAGTCCCAGCAATGAGGTTGTTTCATTGAACACCCGAGCAGCTTCTATACTAGCAGAAGAGAACCCAAAAGCAAAAACTCAGTTGAAAAAGAAGTGAAACAACAGAGAAAACCACCGCAAACCAGATCTAGGCAAAATGCAGTAAGTCAACAGAAAAACCCTCCCATGAAAGGAAAATCGTGGGTTTGGGGTTTGAATTTTTCTCCTCTTAATTGCCTAAAATGTAATCTGCAACAGGGAAATTAAACTCTCCTCCTGGTGCTGGACTTCGGTGGGTGTGCAGGACTCTCTATGCAAATCCGCTCGCACGACAGGGGACCGCAAATGCTTTCCACCTTGCAAACCCTTTCCAGCTCAACACAGACCTGCTCCTCAGCAAAGGGACCCTGGTCCTCTCACTCCTCCCCGGAGCACCACGCTGTCATCATCCTCCCCGCTGAACTTCTCCTTTCACAGCCTATGTTACTGAACATCAGTTTAAAGAAACCCGCAGGGAACGGCTGCATATTTGGGAGGGAAACAAGAGGAGCTGATTTGCTCTGCTTGAGCAGCCTGCTCCTGCACCCAGGGAGGCAGGACAAACCATCAGCTTGATTCCCAAATCCGGGAGCCTACTCCATGGACCCAGGGAGAGGAGAGACAGAAACATCAATACAATTGACTGAGCATCTGGCAACAACGTTTGTTTTGACATTCAGTAAAGATATTATGCAGATGGATCTGTTTTTCTCTTCGGCTTTAAAACACACTCTTTAAAATCTGACATTTGCATTTTGGGAGGTGCATGCTCATTTACATCGAGGCTCCTTTACAATGACCTAATTTGAGGTCCCTCAGTACTGCCAAAACTGAGCAGAGGCGTCTTAGTGTAAAGCGATAATCAAGCTCTGCAAAGTGCGGACAGCAACTCTGAAATGCCACATCTAAACCCAGGGTTGGTAGAAGCATGAAATGTCGATTCCACCGTCCAGCACCAGGCATCGGTGCTGGCAGCACAATTTGCCAAACCTCCAGAAATCATGATAAACTAGCAATTACCAAAAAAAAAAAAAACCAAACCATCCCAGCATACATATGAGACAGAATTTGAAAAGACAACAGAAAAAAACCTTTTTTCTTACCTTCGGTAGCTTTATTTACAGCTGTTAATGTACTCAGGACCTTGGAGAACTGTTCTCCCGTGTACAAATCATGTGGATCAAACACCTGCGAAAGAGGAACTTGGTCAGTTGAACCCGAAACATCTCACTCCGGCCATCCAAGCAGCCTACGTAGAGGGTGACAGTGAGGATTAAGTAGCCCATATGCCTCTGCAGGGGTAGGGTGTTTATTCAGGGCTGACAAATCCCATTTCCTTTAGAGTGAATTCCTGGGCCGCCAGTGGCAGGCGGCATGGGAAGGGCAGGGGGACCCACCAGCGTTTGGAGCGTAACACTGGGGACAGGGAAGGAAGAAATCGGTGCTGTCTGCAGAGAAGGGACTCCTCAGAAAACCACGGAGAAGGTTATTGCTTGCCTTGAGGGAAGGAAAGATTTTGCTGCTATTTTTGTTATCAAAAGCTGAAGAGATTGAGGCTGTACATATATATGTATATACACACACACATATTTTCCACAGCAGAAGAAACAAACACACAGAATTTTCTGCTATTGCAATATGGCATATATAATACATTTACTTTTTTTTTTACACGAAGCCAAAACCAGTTATTTTATGTGCAAAAATTCCACTCTAAAGAATTCTGTGTTGCTAAACCTCAACAGCAAAACAGATATACATAGTTAGCAAGGACTTATTTCCTATGACTGGTAACCTGCACCTGGTACACCCAGCCCGTCAGAAATCACCACCAGCAGAATGAGGCTCAATTTGAGTTTCTGAAACACTGCAATCCCCTCTAACACCTGGGGAATGCCCTCAAGTTCATACAGACTGTACAAGTCCTACCATTAATGAAGCAAAGATAAGCGATACAAAAAAACCCCGTTATTGGTACCACCAAGGCACCATCTGCTAATCCCCAAATACACGTTTTCTTGCAGATGGAGACCACAGATCCACAAATCCAATGAACAGGAAAGACGATTTTAAAGCTCTCCTGGCAGACACCACCTACTTACAAACACTTCCAATGGACTAAAGAGTGTATCCTGCTAAATAAGTACACGAGCCTTAATTACCTTTAGGGTAGTACTGCCCTTTAAAATGGCCCTTTCTTGCTTTCCACATATAGCTCCTTGAATACGCTTGGCATATGTCAAATAGGAAGGAGACTGGCCTCTTCCGCAGCCCTGGATGCTCGCGGCATCTCTTCCTTTCAACAGACACATCAATACAGCAACAAAATCCAACACAGGCAGTACAAAGGCTGCTTTTTGTTGAGAATATATTTAAAAACTGACTCAGCCACTCAATACTGGGAGGAAGGGTTTACCCGAAAGAAATTTAATCCACGCTCAGAGGGGGAACAGCCTGCTGTCATTACAAATATTAAAATCAGTAGATTGCATCTACTATTCTGCACATTTTGGGGACATCCCCACCTACCTCAGGCTCTTTCCAAGCTGATCTATCGCCTGCGCTCGCTCGGGTTTGTTCCTTTGGACCACACGGACCCCATCCCCTCTGCCAACTGGTGCGTGAACTAGTTTTCCTGCCTTGCAATTGCAGCCGGTGCTATCTGAGCATCGCCTCCAGCCCTGAGCAGCGACATTAGCGTCTCCATGGAAAGGGAGATGGTAACAGAGAGCCCGGGCGTGTGCTGACCCTGTTGGCAGCCGCTGGAGGATGCAACGTTACAGTAACGCGCCTTCACCCTCCGGCCAAGCAGAAGAAGAAAGTAAACAGCGAGGCTGGGGTGTTTGCATGCATCTCTCTGGTGTATCATTTTCTCAGTCATACCCTTTTTCTTCCACTTCAGTAAGTCCAGAAAAACAAGTCCTGCCTTGAATGAATGGCTTTTTTTTTTTTTTTAAAAGGACCAAAGCAGTAAAATACATCCCTGATCCTTCAATGCACAGAATAATGCCGTAAGCTCAGAGCCATCAGACTGACAAAGTCCAGAGGAAAACGGTGGCGGGAGGGATATGCAAAAAATTCTAGCACAAAAGCAAGCAATAACTTTTAAGACTTTTCTTCATGGAGAAATTGTTTGGAATAGCTACTGTGGAACAATGGCTACGTGGAAAACTCTTCTGGATCAGCTACTGTAATGTAAACATACTCTGCGGCTTGTTCCAGAATAGATTCATCATACAGCAAAGTCCTCGTTTATGAGCTACAGATTACTTTTTCCAGCACAATCCATCCATAATTCCATTCCTAACTAAAAGACAAGCTGCAAGGCTAGAAGAAAAACAAAGAGGGGAAAGGCTTTTTCGCTCTTAGCTCATAGAAGATCAGGTGGACGTAAGCAAAACCCTGCTTAAATCTATGGCTGTCATCTGAAGATCTCCATTAAAATGCTTTTCTGACTTTCAGAGTCACAGACTGCAGCTCCCCTTGGTGAAACGCTCCGGCTGCTCTGACCGGGAGAGAGAAAACCCGCACTGCTGCACCGCCAGTGCTCCTCCGAAAGACAGCGAGCAGGCGAGGAGGGGCCGGCTGCTGGCAGGGCAGTGACCAGAAGAGCACCCAGCTTTTCCAGAAGGACGAAAAATCAAACCCAGGTGCATCTAGCAAGTCACCAGCACCCAAAATCCCAGGACCGGGATGGAAGGTGCAGAAAAGTTAAGGGAAGCCGGGTTGTGTTTCGAGCCCGAGCTGTTTTATCTGCACAAACTATTTCCACAGTGAGACAAAACCCCGGCAAACCTCAAGCTGGCTGCAAAGCCCAAAGCTCGGCGCGACCGCGATCCTTCATCCAAACCCGAGGACGAGGGCAGGAGGCAGACGGTCCCACGCCCGCTGCGACCGCCAGCGATGCCGGCGCTGGCTGCTCCCCCCGGCCGTGCCCCTGCCTCCAGCGGCAGCCAGGCACCGCCGCCTCGGCGAGAAGCGGCCAGACGGAGCCAGGCAGGCGGCCGGGGAGGGCCTTAGCACGCCGCAACACCCGCCCCCGGGGAGCAGAGCGG